GTGGAGTCAAGATTTGAAGTTTATGAACTTATCACAAAACTCATAGCTCGTCTTATAAGTTATTGAGGTTCACAATCAACTATTTATACATATTTAATAGATTTTTAATACAAATTTAAAATATAAGCAAAAAATATTAAATTCTTCAAGCTATAATTAATAGCATAATACTCTTGCTCTGCCCCTGTTAATAATAATAATAATAATAATAATAATAATAATAATAATAATAATAATAATAATAATAATAATAATAATAATAGTGTATTGAAAAGAATTAATCTAGGGTACCTATAAAAATATCTTTATTGTCAGCACTATGACTCCTACGATTCTTTGCATGCAACTACATGCATACCTAAATGTCCTAAACTAGTTGGTCAACCGTACCTAATTTGTTTAAACCTGATTTTATTCTATGCATATATGGTTGGTTTACCATATATGCATTTCCATATTTTCTGTGGTCCAAAAATTATTTTAAAAAGAGAGAGAAAAAGAATGAGTAGAAGAAAACTAGAGGAATATCGTTGAATCAAGAGGTTGAATTACTAGAATCAATTCAAAGACTTAAAAATTCTAGGCCTTCTTGAAAGTGATTAAAACTATTATTAATTCTTCGAATTAATTTGAAGGACCAAGTTACAGAACATTCTTTTTTCTGATTTTTCAGTTTATGGACACGTGGATAGTGTATAGGAGAGGAAGGTAGAAGAGGGAATAAATTTTGACCAAACTATGGGCGGGGGAGGTTCATTCAAATCCTCTTTGTCGGAAAATTACCCTCAATTAATATAAGGTTAAAATTATTATTATTATTATTATTAATATATATATATATATATATATATATATATATATATATTTTCTTAGCTTTTTCGTATATTTATATCTTTATATTTTGAATTTTCTTAGTAAAAATTCTAGCTGCAATACGGGTAATAATACATCGAAAATAAATGAGGGAAGCATGATGAAATTAACTTCATGCATGAGATATGGAAAAATCCTTGGTAGGGAGCGCTTCCCCCCGAAAGGGGCCATACGCGACGCGAATCCGGATATAGTCGGGCTCCAATGCGGGTACCGAACACCGGGTGGGAAACCAAAAAAAATAAAATAATTGGAAGATTCCTTATTGGTTTGGGAAGGTTATCAACCAAACCAATGAGAGACCTATGACTTTAAAGTTAACAATACTTATTTTATTTTTAGTTTCTTTCTCAAATTAACACGTACAATCCAAATTTAGAGAGATCGGATAATTACAAAATACACCCCAAAAGTTAGCCAACTAACCAATTGGTACACCGAAGCATAATTGGCTTTTCAAAATTAATTGGCTTTCGTAATTGCAATTGAATTACAAAGTTGATCTTTTCAAAAATACATGTTATTCATTTAATTAATTGTGGGACCATTTGGACGTTCATTTGGACTAATTATGAGGGTGTTACAATTTATTTATGCAGTGAGTAACAATGCAGAGCTTGGTATGCAGTGGAGAATAAATTAAGGATTAATTATTTTAATAATTTGTTTTGTCTTTAGTTATGCTTAATCATGTATTGTTAATATATGTGTTTATATTTAATATTCAATTATGTTTAAAATAACACGTAAATTCTTGCATAATAACTATGAGTATTAGGTAATGCGGAGTTTAATAAAGCCAACCAGATATTGTATTAAATTATATGGACAACCATTATTTTTACTTGTGTATTACCAGCCAATCATAATACTCTTAATATTTATGTAGAATTTTATGTTGAAATCATTTGTATTAGTAAGATAAACCAAATGACCATGTAGATAAGGATAAAGTAAAGTATAAAATAGAGACAGTTTTAATTAGTATTTGACTAAATCAAACTAAAGAATGGAAAAAAAATATATCCCCAGAAATGGCCGAAAAGAAGAGACAATCTTGAAATTTTGATAAAGGGTGGTCAATTGACTACTCTTAGCAAAAGGTGGCTTCGCCCCTTCCTGACAGATGTTCATGTTTAATTAGATCTCTCCATCTTTAATAAGAGGTTTCGAGTTTGAATCCTAAAAATAAAAATAAAAATTCATTGCAGGTAAAGGTGCTCCCTAATAGGCCATAAGCAGAGTGGATTTAGAATAATCAGACGTTATTGAGTTTCAGATAATTAAAATAAAAAAGAAATAGTTTCTGGGATCAACGATTTACTGCAAGTGACAAATGCTCAATATCTTCCTTCAATCAGGTTGTAAGCCAAACTAATTAAAATAATATAGATCACGAAATTCTCTGCAATCTATTGGTAGCATATTGTATTCAAATAGGGATTTTTATATAAATCGCCGATCAAATTTACAATTTATTTTTCCTAATGATATATATATTATTCATCGATTATATAGGGTTATACTTATACACATATATGTGTGCGCTAACCAACTTGCTAAAAAAGTAGTCAAACTTTCTATAGATTTATTTGACCCTTATTTAATTATTCAATCGTCCAAAGACTAGGAGACGTGGCAGTAAAACACAGTTAAAGGAAGACGAACAAAGTTGCTGACTTACTAGCAAAGGAGGGTGTCGAGAAGGATATTTTTGATACTATTTTGGTAACAGCAGTTCTTTCGGTATTTGCTACATATGTTTTTTGGGCAGACATCGTAGGAACTGTCTTTTCAAGACAAGTTTTGGAACGTAATATTTATAACAATGGCCACCGGGAGGGGGAATTATTAGTATACCCCTAGTAACAATGCTAGTGTTTTCTGCCCTAACGGGTAGTACTTTTTAATGAATTGCACCCTTTAACCAAAAAAAAAAAATTATCCTAGCTTATTAATTATTATCCAAAGAGGATAATGCTCTTTTAAAGTAGACTTGCAATGGAAGAATTTTCAACGTGTTCTATTTCTATATATGGATAACAATATACAACTGAATATAGTTTTTAATTAATCTGCGTTGTCAACTCTGAAGATGCTTCCTGAAGGCTTTGCATTATTATTGCATACATAATTTTACTTGAAAATTCTCTAATTGGATTCGAAGCATATTAATTACTATTAAATTAATTAGAATAATTTGGTTGGTAACCAGCTTTTTATTCCTCTAATCCTTATTAATAATTATTTTTAGGGAATGTATTTTTCCCCATAATTAAAGAAAATAAAAAAGAAGAAAAAGTAACGAGTATATAAATCTCAGTAGTAATTATTTGTAATATGCTAACTTATAACGGGGATTATCTCGATCGTTAGTTCGATGTTTTGAAATTGACCAATTATAAGCACCTTTTGGCTTATTTATGCGTTCGGTAAACATCAAAAGTGCTTATAAGCTGAAATCAGTCATAAGTCATAAGCTGGTCACCCCCAACTTATTTCTTTTCAGCTTATAAGCAGTTTTAGTTTGACTAACACTTTTACTAATTTATCCTTAATAATATTTTCTGACTCATCAAATTTTTCCAAATAAATTTCTTGACTTTCTCTTCATTCCATATTTGTTGTTAATTATTTCTTTTACAAAGAATTTTTTTAATTTATAATCTTTTGAAAAAAATTCAAGGGTATTTTAGTTATTTTAACAAAAGAATAGCTTATCAACACTTTTTTATCAAACACATGAACTGCTTATTATTAGTTTCAGCATTTTTATCCAAACACGTAAATGCTTATTTTAAAAATCAGTTTCAGCCCTTAAAAAAACTTTTCAGCACTTCAAACTTATCAGCTATTTATCACAGTGAATTCCTATCATTCTGCTTTAAATTCACGTTCTCATTAATTTCCTTTTCAAATACAAAACGAATGTACATAACATAGGAAATAAAAAACAACACTGACAGACTTAGGAAATAAAATTCGCATGCATTATCTCAACCAAAAAAGAAATGAAAATGACATGCATCATCATGTGATTTTTATTCCAAATCTTTTTAAATTGTTTACATAATTAATGTAACGTCTTTTAATATGACCATTAGAAAAAAAGAAATTGCCAAAATCTTGATTTACAAAACTATTTGAAATCTATTTTGAAAAAGAGGGAGTAAACTTGGACGGAAAGAATATAATTTAATCCAATCAAGCTACAAGTGTGTAATCAATACATTAATGAAACTATTATTAGGGGATGGGTTGCATTAATCATAGATTTTGAAACTGAAAAATGGAAATTATTTCAACTTCATTATTTAATTAACTTAATCATTTATTGGTGTCTTAAACCGATTCCTGTCTATTCACTGCCCCACAAAGACAACAAAAAAAGATAAAATTAATAGATTAATTTTATCTGATATGAGGTGAGGATCATCGAAAATAATCTCTGTATCTTCACAAGGTAGGGATAACTGGTAAGATCTGCGAACTGTTTAAATTATATATATTAATAAAAATATAAATTTTTATACGATCATGTCTTCATTAAAAATATTTTTCTTAATTTTAAAAATAAAACAAATTATCTTCTGCTACTAATAACTTCAAATTTTTAATTTTATTCTAGGTTCCCCTTCTCTAGGGGAGTCCTTGTGTATAGGAAGTGGCAGGGGCAGCCCGACGAATTTTGTGGCCTAAAGCCAAATTTTACGAGGGGTCTTAACTTTAATTTTTTTTTTTAATTATTTATTTGAAGTTTATTTTTTTAACTTTTCTTAGATATAAAGTTATTTAATTTTCTTCAAATCAGTAACTCCTAATAATTATTTCTCAATTGACATTACAGCTAATTCACTTAACCTTTCTTGTGACATTGTTGTTCCTGGGTAAGATTTTATAAATTTTAATTTTGAAAACTTCTTTCCGCTAAATCAATGGTAACTTGAGTTATGAAAATTATTCCATAAGCAATTTAGAATGTGTTAATATTAAAAAAATGGTGATTAGCATGAAAGAGAAACAAAGGGGAGGAGACACGTTTTGAATGGCTCGAAAATTGAAAAGATACTGTTCATTATTTTACTTACTCTTTTTTTCAAATCAAATTCTTAATTTTTATAGTATAAATATCCTCATACTATATTACCCTATTTCCTATTTCTGTGATTCTTTTGAATTTTAGACCAAGACACTCAATCTCTTGCTTCATTTCAAAAGAGAGAGATCTTTTTTAAGTTACAAAGAGAGCTTTCTTAGCTTGTAGATATCCGATCCCCTTGTTGTAAGTCTCTTTTTTTGCCTCAGTATATTCCCTTAAATTCTCAATTTTTTCTCATGTTTGTTTTGGTATAGCTTGATATTCATTTCAAAGATCACTTTTTGGCATCTGGGTACTTTGTTTTTTTCTTTTTAATTTTATGTTTGTGTGTTAATAGCTTGAAATTTATTCAAAAGATCATTTTTTGCCATCTGGGGTTGCCATGTTTCAACCTTTTCTTGATTCCCTTTTGTTATTTGCATGTTTTTTTTAACTTGTTTTTATTCTGCTTGGTATTTGATTTTTTATGTCTTAATAGCTTGAAATTTATTCAAAAGCTAATTTTTTTCCATCTGGAGTTCTCAAGTTTCAATCTTTTTTTGATTCCCTTTTGTTATTTACATGTACTTTCTCTTTTTTTGCTTGGATTTATTCTTCTTGGTTTTGGTTTTTGTAACTTTCTTTAATTGTTTGGTGTTTTTGATTCCTTTAGGAAGTTTCTTTATCTAAGCTCCTTATTTTGTCTTTGATTCAAATTTGTCATGCTTTTTTGAATTAAAGTTGTATGTCCTTTATTTCAAACCTTATACCTTTTTTTAGGTATAGTTTTGTAGTTGGAAGTTAGCCATTTGGTATTCCTTTATGACTTTAATACTCTGACCCTTTATTTTAAAAAAGTACTTTTTGTATAATTGGTTGGTATTTTGACAATTCTGATTGCAACAACTTTTGTGTGCTAAGGCAACTTGTTTGCTGTTATTTTCTAATTTCAGGCAATTTCTGGTGGAAAGCTGATTGTTTAAGGCATCACTGTTTCTGTTACATCACATTTCGAAAAAGTGTGTGCTTAGTTGATATTTGTTGACACAAAAAAAAAGATGGGAGATCATTTTGTGTTTTTGGTTGATCGGTTGCTAACTGAATCAACTTTGGAGGCTGCAATTGAAAGCAGAAACCAGAAACAGCTAGCATCATCGGCGACTAACGATCCAGTAGCTGATTGCTCTAGAGAGGAATCTGATCCTTTCATGACTCCTAGGAAGATGGTCGAATGCAGGATATGTCAAGATGAAGATGTGGATTCGAATATGGAGACTCCTTGCTCTTGCTGTGGTAGCTTGAAGGTTTGTTGAGCCTTGTTGCTATTCTTCAATCTCTATTTGTATATAGTATGCTATCTATATTGGATAGAGATGAGCTTTAAATTGAGCGACATGGAAAGTGGGGATTCATATCGCCGACCCCAACTTGCTTGGAATTGAGGCTTAGTTGTTGTTGTGTGCTATCTATTGGTGTTCTAATTTTTCTGTCATTGGAGCTAGTTTATGTTGTTAGTATTCACAGTTACTTTTTCTTGTTCCTACTACTCATATATTGGTGTGCCATTCGGTTACTTGTTTCCGCAGGCACATGTTATTTCTAATAAGCCATCTAGGAACTGGTTTTGTTTTATGACAAGTCTGGATGAATGAAAGATTTTGTTGATATAGTTACAAGTACGTTTTAGAGTTGTGTGCCTGTAGCTTTTTGTTCCTTCCATTATCGGTTTTGATTAACTTAAATGTTTGCAAGTTCAGGTTTAATTTCGTGATTACTTTCGGTGACAATTTATTACTGCAATATACTAGCCAAGCACTTGATTGTTTTACATCACAAAATCTCAAGATCCTGACTACGTTAGTCCTAATTAGATTTCAAAGTTTAAAGGAATCTGTATAGATCCTTGTCGTAAAATCGCACTTTATGACATGGATGGTGTTGAAAATACTCTAGAATCATCCCTCTACCTTTTCTTGGATTGGTCCCCTGGTGAGTTGGGGAAGGAGTAGTGCTGTTTCAACGCTCCTACAATGTGGAGCAAGTAAAAAACAAATAGGAGATTTAGAAAAATGAACGCTAATGTTTGGAATTTGTGAAGAAGCCAGACAATGAACTTTCAACTAGTTTTCTGTACAGATGCTTAATAGAGAAGATTGGTGATGTTGCTGCGTTTTTGGCTTTAGTTGGCATGAGAAATTCCTCTGTCTTTGAATCAGTTATCTTCTTATTCCTACCAACTTATCGTATATTCTACTGTAATTTTCCCAGTTCCAAGTAGTTTTAGAGTTTGTCATTTGCGAGACTTCTTAAACTTGACCAGTTGCCTCGCCAGAATGTGGTATTAAATGGAAGAGAAGTTGGGGGAAGCAGAAAAAGAGACCTTTGCTTCAGGATTTTCACTTGTGTACTTTCTTCAAAGTACTCTCTAATGTCTGATTCTCCTGTGATGCTCATATAATAACTTGTTGCATGTCATCTTAACTTTGATCTTGAGACTCTCCTACCTATTCTCCACTTGTCCCAAATTTCTTTATTTTCTTCTAAAAAATTTATTTTATCTTCTACTCATAATGTGTTCTGCAACTGCTTCACGGGATGCTTGGTTTTCTTTCAGTATGCACATCGGAGATGCGTGCAAAGGTGGTGTAATGAGAAGGGTGATACCATTTGTGAGATATGCCATCAGGTGGGCAACTTTTCTAAGTTTTCTTTATGTTAAACTTACAAGCTAAACGTGCGTTTGTACCAAAGCAACCTTTTCTCCATCCTTCCTGTTAGATGTATTACAATTTTGGTTCACTCCTGTCGTACAACATGTGCTTGGTTCTTCAGTTGATGTTGGTAATTAATATCCTTATGTTGGATTTGTGTCGATTACAGCCTTTTAGGCCTGGTTATACAGCACCACCTCCAATTTTTCGACTTGGAGGCATCCCGATGAATTTCAGGTATCCTTCTTCGTCTTTCTTGTTGTAATTATTAGGACGTCAAATATTCTGTTCCGTATTCCATATAGCTTTTAGCTTACCATGTTTATGGTGATTTAATCAGGGGAAATTGGGGAATTGTCAGAAGAGACTTGAATAATCCTCGTCTGATAGCAGTGGTTTCAACTGATCGCGATTTCATCAACTCTGACTATGATGACTATGCGGTTTCTACATCAAGAAGCATGATGTGTTGTCGTTCAGTTGCAATAATTGTATAATCTCTCTCTCTCTCTCTCTCTCTCTCTCTCTCTCTCTCTCTATATATATATATATATATATATATATATATATATATATATATATATTTGCATACATACTAGTGCATTTGATGTTGGCCGAACAAGATAAGCAAACACAAAATGATGAAAAGAGCACGTGGTTTTCTAATCACTAGAATTCGTGTCTGGCCAAACTTTATACAAACAAGTAAATCAATGTGATCCCCCACCACTTCTTGTGTTGGTTATAGTATCACTAACTCAATTGGAATTTGGAACAGTTTCTTTGTACTCCGCAAATGTGGAGATACCCTTTAGTCAAATTTCAACTTTATATGCAGCAATTTAATTCTCTCTTTTTGTTCTTTTCTTAACAGTTTATGCTGCTTCTAGTTTTACGGCACACTCTTCCCATCATAGTGAATCAAGGGGGGGACTATTCGTTCCCTTTGGTCATGGTAAGGTACTCGGCTAGAGAAAATGTGAATTCACATTGTCGTCCACTTGCACCAGATTGTATCTAACTTATTATCCTTTGCCCACAGCTACTAATGCTAAGGATTACCGGCATTGTTTTGCCTATCTACATCATAATGAAAGCAGTGACGTCTTGCCACAGACGCCAACACCAGCAGGTGAGTGATATAGCATCTTTTCTCTTAGGTTCCTCCCCAATATACTATGTCCGAGTAATTAAACTATTCATCCTTTCAATATAGGCTATTTTGCCCATCTCTTCGTCTGATGAAGAATCTGGCCCCGTGATACTGTCACATCAACCTCCTATCATCGACGCCCCTTGAAAGTACCAGATATACGTCAGGTCACGTTTACTCTACTATTATTACAGCGTCCTGCTCCATAAAAATTGCTGCAGAGAGGATGGATGAATGGGAAAAGAATACACATGCGCGTACTGCAGTTGGTGTTTCAGAATGTGAAGGATGGATCAGCTGTCAAAGAAGTTGTAGATTGAAAAAATATCCAATGTAGAGGCAGAGAAAAATTAAAAAATCAAAAAAGAAGAAACCAAGAAAAAAACAAGATTCCCTGTATCCAATTAGTAAGGTTTCAAGGTTGTAAATTAGTCAGAAATCTTTGTACAGTCAGTTAAGTTCAACTATGTATATGAACACATTGATGGAATAGAAAAGCTAGCCCAAAAAAAGTTGGTTTGCTTATGGTGAATGGTTAGTTTTTATAAATGACTTGTTTTTTCTTTTTTGAATTTAACCATCCTGTATCTGAAACTCACTGGTCCGACCGACCTGTATCAGTGCCCTACCTTTAACCATTCTGTATCTGAAACTCACTGGCCCGACATGTATTAGTGCCCTACCACCAAGGGAGAGAAAAATGCTTTAACCATTCTGTATCTGAAACTCACTGGTCCGACTAACCTGTATTAGTGTCCTACCCGCCAAGGGAGAGAAAAATGCTTTCCATTAAAGTCGGAAAGATTCTTTAGTTATAGAGCTCAAATCCGATACTTCTGGTTAGGTGAGAAAATTTTAACTATCTCACCGCACTCCTTGACAGTATATAAATGATCTACTCGTGCACAAGTTGCTTCAATGTATATTGTACGCAATCTTTTCTAGCATTTCTGAAATTGGTATGTCTATTTGCCTAACTTATGTATTATATCTAATTATTTGGGAAAGAAGAGACAATGTGAAGCCTTTAAGGAACCATGTAGTTCTATATAGAGAAAGTGTCAATTTTTATGTTGAAAGTGAAGGACTCATTCTTTGAGTGGTCAAGGGGGGAAGTTCCTAATTCCACTAACTCAAACATTAAAAACTTTGACTCGTTCAGCTCACCAAATAAATAAGCAAAAGATAGGATTTAAAAATAAAAGAAGGAAACTAAGGAGATTTAGGAGAAATTATTGATGTTGGTCTAGAAAAGTGGCTGACCAGCCTTATTCATAAATGAAATAAAGGACACAAGTCTCAAATTTAGGGCTTGGTTCCGGCCTTGTTTCGTAGTGAATTTATGGATTTGAATACTTAGATCGTTTAATATTTGCGGCACAAATTTATTTTGAACCTATTGGTCTTACAGCTTGTTTGGATGGTTGTTACCTATTGTATCGTATTGTATTGTTATTCCAGAACAATGTTTGTTTTAATTGTTTCATTAAAATTGGTTGTATTGTATTGCTAAATCCGTTGTTCCGGAACAATGAAAAATCCCATTTTTTAAAACAACCGATTTGGCGTGGTGGGATTGTTTCCTATTTTTCTTTCCAATTATGCCTTAACTTATTACTCCATAATTATATTTTACCCTTTATCTTCTTTTTTTTGTTTAAACTCTAAATCTCCAACCGATAACCCACTTTGTCTTTGTTCCTTTTTTTTTTCCAGAACTTTTGCCGCTTCCAACTATAACGTAAAAGGTGTTTTGTCGTTATTTTTTTATTTTTTCTCCTAATTTGATTTTATCTCCAATTCTAATTATCTTTGTTCTGTCAATTCTCGTTCCTTTCTTTATCATAGTTCTTTAACATCTTATTTTTTGTCTTATTATTATTATTATGATCCAGTTAGGAATGGAGTGTACTTATTATTATTTTTTTAAATAATATTAACTCGTTCCACCTATTTTGTTAGAATTTGCATGACTTTAATTGCTTAATCTATTTATAAGACATATTTGATGATAATTAGTAGAAAGAGATTTTCTTAAATTATTTTTATGCTTAATTCTTGATAAATTTAATATCTAAACAATTGAGGGTATTTTAGTAAACTTATCAGTTACAGTACAGTACGATACAGTTAAACCAAACAGCAAAATGTTATTTAACAACAGCAAACAATACAATCTGTCCAAACGTTGTATTTATAAAACGATACGGTACGATACAGTACAATACAATACATTATAAAACGATGGGTAACAATGATCCAAACGGAGTGTTAGTATCACAGGTAAGGGACCACCAAAGGATGTGGTGCAGCGGATGGGACTGCTCTTCCCTTAACCAGAGGTCTCGGGTTCGAGCCCTGGGTATGAAAAAATCCTTGATAGGGAGCGCTTCCTCCCGAAAGGGGCCCTACGCGGCGCGAATCCGGATATAGTCGGGCTCCAATGCGGGTACCGGACACCGGGTGGGAAACCAAAAAAAATCACAGGTAAGGGTGTTCATGGTTCGGTTTGGGTCGATTTTTCCCTAAAAAGAAACCAAACCAAGTAAATCGATTTTTCAAATATTGGAACCAAACCAAACCAATTAAGTCGGTTTTTTATCGATTTAGCTTTTGTCGGTTTTTCGATTTTTTCGGTTATTTATCGGGTTTTTTCTTAAATATGAGACATACACTTCCAAACGCATATTCTGGCGACTACATTCTCAATGTAACACTATTAAATCAATTGTTCTTTGAGAAATCTATCATTTACCAAGATATATTGATGATAATTTAATCAAATAGTGATGAATAATTTAAGTACTCAATTGAAAATCGATTATTTTTAACATGAAATAAATTCTTGTACTTAGCAAAAGAAAACTACCAATCAAACTAGAATATAGGCAAAGAGTTAGATTATTATAATAGCAAAGAACTAGACTAAAAATATAATTGCCTAATATATACCATAAAATTTTAGAAACTTTATATAAAAATATACATATATACAGGTGTAATAATAAATTTAAATAGCTATTTTTATAGCCGGTTTGGTTCGGTTTTTTCGGTTATTTTTTTATTAAAACCAAAACCAAACCAAAGCTAAAAAGTATCGGGTTTTTTAGTCGATTTGATTCGGTTTTCGGGTTTTTATGAACACCTTCACGGGCGGTTAAAATGACCGCCTTCAATTTATTAGACCTTGCTCCTTGCCTCGCTCCTTACTTTTTTTCTCTTTCTTTTTTGTGCATGAAACTCCTTTAACTCGGAGGCGTCTTATTTGAACTAAAAAAAAATTGTTTCACTTTTGACTTTTTTTTGTGTGATAATTTTGAAATTGTATAAGTAAAGAGAAAGAAATTCGCTCCTTCTGTTCTGGACATGATATTAATTATGAAAGGTGGATAATTGATCTATCATTACGTTGTCACAATCAATGTTTGTTGTTTAAAAATTGACTAGAAAAGAGATACAATTAAATCAGACTTTATCTTAAAAACGTAAGCTCGGATACTGTAAACATGAAGCGCTAAGAAATATCTCATAAATCATTACAACTTCCTCTATCAAATATTATTCTGAGAAATTCAATTTGTTTCAAAATATTGGGTGTGAGAAGAGAAAGAAAGACCCCAACTTGAACACAACATATAATCATTTGAGTTTTTTTTTTTAAAATTTTTAAAAAGCATCAAAATGTGCCCATTTTTTTTTCTTTCCTCTCCTTTCCTATCTCCTCTACTCTTGCATCAGCTAATCCTACATCAGAAAAAACAACGAATTTATTCTTGACCATGAATAACAAGCTCCTATAAATATGGTCATTGATGCACAAAACATTTTTAATTTCTTAGAATTCAACCAGTGTCAGCGAGCATTGCTTTTCCCCCCAAGAAACCCTTCATCTCAAAAATGCAAATATAAAGCCGCAGCTCCACTGAAAAAGAAGCCCAATCCATTGGGTGTGTTGGACCTATAGTCCGTCACCTTGTCCAAGATCGACATATATTTTACAAAAAATATAGTTAAAATAGCACGGGCTAGCTAGTTTTTGGATTGGTCATTCAAAAATAGCCAACATTTGCAAAGTCATTGAAAAATAGCCACTATTTTGCTGCAACAGGGACCGGTCCAGCATAATATTCTGGAGATCGGTGGATTGGTTAATGTGATTGTTTGAGAACTAAATATATCGTAGTGTTTTATTAATGGTTAACTGGATAAAGTTAAGTTGTAGTCCCGAAGAAATATGTGATTAAACTTTATGCAATTCGTTATATCAAAATTTTAACTATTAAAATGAAATAAATGTCTAACACGTTTGATTGGTTAATGTGATTGTTTGACAACTAAATATATCGTAATGTCTAAAACGCGATTATTCTTCTTTGACATTTTTTCTAAATTATTTTAAATTTTCATAAAGCAATATCTTTTAGTGGTAATTAGCTATCTATAGATACCATTTGCTATATTATGGATTGTAGATACGTTTTCTGTTGTTATAAGATATATTTGATGTATTTAAGCTACTGTATTCATGAATACAGTAGCATTTCTAGGCGTGAATCAGGGAAGTCCAGCTAATCAGTTATTGTATTCGAGTGTATTCGACTGTATTCATGGCGTGAAACATGAGATTACAACTCGATAGATTATTGTATTCGACTGTATTTACGACGTGAAACAGGGGATTATACTATTTTTAAAAGGAAAGTGAATCATTTAACATAATCGACTCCTGATACAACTCAACAAGCTCAATTATAATACACAAATTTTGTATTTTCAGTTATAAAAAAGATTCTCAACCAAAAAATACCCCAAAAACATAGCAATCTTCAGAGAAATTATATAATACATCTGAATACATAAATTATATTAATTAAAAAAAATATATGAATACATTGCATGGCATATAGCGAGATAGTGAGTACAATGAAATACATAGAATACAGCGGGATACATTGAAATACAATAAAATAAAAGACATTGAATACAATGAAATACATGGAATACAGCGAGATACATTGAATTAAAATGAAAAAAAAAGACAATGAATACAATAAAATACATGAAAATACAGCGTGATACATTGAAAATATATTGAAATATATTAACAGAAAATCAAGTTGCTCAGCCCCAAATTGAATTTCTAGACGTGCTCGATAACCTTCCCAGTTTTATTATCAACAAATTGAATCCTCATATATTGCGGCAGCTTTCCTTGAAGATCAAGTTCAACCTTAACCCTAGCTGTGCTAGGTCTAGACCTTTCTTGCGTGGCCTTATCAATAGCAATGGATCTGTGATTTCTTCTCGAACAACATAGGCGGTAGATTCGGAAACGAGATCCAAACAAAGGCTCTTGAAGTCTCTTCTTTAGGGTTAAATCCAATAGTCCATGGAAATAATCTAAACTGATTTCTTTCCCATTCAAGGATATGTAGTTAACAGATTTAGCCACTGCAAGAACATAGTCATCATATCTGTCGAATCTAATCAAAATATGTCTTCTTGCAAGCCATCCAATAAGGCATCGTCCATTGTAAACTTTACAGCACAAGAATTTGATACAGCGTGATATATAGAATTTGAGCACAAGAGCTTGATGTAATCCCTCCTCTTTAGTGAACTGATTAATCTCGTCCATTGTAAACTTTATTGTGGCTACACCATGCACGATATCAACATGTTTCAAATCTGTTTTTGTTGAAATTTGGGCAAGTTGTTTTGATTCCAATAACGTTGCACATGTTGTGTTAGGAGTAGTATTTTTGTTCGTCTCTCCCACAGCTTGAAGCTGGGGAGAGGGCTGCGCATCCATGGCAGCATTTTAGTTACCATGTCGCCCTAGAGAGAGAGGAGAGAGGAGAGAGGAGAGAGGAGAGAGGAGAGAGCGTGTGGTTTTTGACTAATGATAGGTGATGTGGGTGAGAGGAATTTTGAGATTGAGAATCGTGTTTTCAGGGAATGGGGAAGAGAATGACATGTATCAAAATAGATAGAGAAAGAAAATAGTGTACCTGAATAGCGTATTTAGTGGCTTAGGGGTAGGAGGTAACCAAAATTAAATATTTTGCTATAAATATTAAAAGGTATCTATAAAATATAATTTTTTAAAATAGTATTTATTTAAAAGAAATAAAGTGTTAACTTTTGCATAATTACCCTTACAATACGTGTAACAACATAGCATATAACGGAGAAGAAAGGGGTCAATTTTATTATGTAGTACAATTTATAAATTTTTCTGGGCATCATAATTTCTCAAAAATTAATATGCTAATAATTAATTTAGAAATTATCCCTCTTTTCTATGAGAAAAATATTTATAAATAGTATTATTAGGTTAATTAATAGAATTTGTTTATTTAGATTATATACTTATTTGTAATGTAATATATGAAGTTTACTCACATAAAAAAATATTAGAACATATTTATCAATTAACAAACTGGTCACTCCTAATTAGTCCCTAGGTTCTTCTTCCGTCGTTCTTCATCATCTTCCCCAACAAAACCTTCTCCATATCTCTGGTTTTTTCCAGTATAACACACCCATTCGAGCCCTTCCCCAAATTTTTGGTCAACGCACCGGATCTAGTCTGACCGGATCCGATACAGATCCCACACCCTTACCCGTGTCAGTGTCGTGTCGACACGGGGGTACGGCACCGAAATTGCCGTGTCCGAGCAATCAGATATCGTGGCAGAAGTCAATCAAGGTGATATTTCTTCAACTGTGGAAGAGATGGAAGAACAAAGCAGAACAGATACTGGTAATATCAGAAAGAGGAAAAAGGGTTCTGAAGATCCTACACATGAAAAGAGTGAAAAGAGAGTGAGATTCTCTGGTCATGTTCAGATTTTCCCTTTATCCGGTGATCCAAGTCATGAAACCGAGGAAGAAAATTTACTGCGTGGAAAACGATTCTCGAAATTAGAAGATGAAATTGTCAAAGAGGCTGTTCATAACTACATAGATATACATAACTTGGGCGAACAAGGGCTGCAAAAGATCTTGAACTCTAGATCTAATCCTGAAGTAAAAGGCTGCTGGAAAGAAATAGGGAGCGCTATACCCTACAGGCCTTATACTGCGGTTTATTATCGTGCACAGGTCTTGTTCCGAAGGAGTGAGACGCGTAAATGGACTGAAGAAGAGTACGAGATGGTACGAAAATTCCACAAAGAGCACGGGAACAATTGGATGGCTGATGAACTTGGAAAACATCGGTTTCATGCGAAGGCTAAAACTGGCCAATAAGAAGAAAGGACAATGGAGTCAGGAGGAATACCAGACTTTGTTTGATTTAGTAAACACCGATCTGAAACTGAAGCTTTCTGAAGAGAAGAAATCTAAGCATGGGATGTTACGGGATAATATTGCCTGGGGCGCCATAAGTGACAGATTGTCCACAAGAACTGATGCAATTTGCTGCTTGAAGTGGTATGACCAATTAACATCACCCATGGTGGCCAAAGGTGAATGGGCAGATACTGATGACTATCGCCTAGTTGATGCACTTTTTGCATAGAGGATGTGGACTGGGACAATCTTCTTGACCACAGGCCTGGCGAGATATGTCGAAAGAGATGGAACCAAATGGTTCTTCACATAGGTCAACATGGAAACAAGTCATTTGCTGAACAAGTAGAAGTTCCAGCTAAGAGATACCGTCCAGAATTGGTCCAAGTAAGAGAGGCTTGGGATAGTAAACCAGTTATTCCATGATCCGAATTATTGTAGGCTTGTAGCAATAACCGCATTTCCCTTACATGTGGAGTTGTATCATCTACGATGTTGGTTAACAATGAGGAAGCTGAAAGTTGTAGCAAAAATGGTGCGCTGGGAAATTACCAGATTTGTGGTAAAGTGGTTCCTCGCTGATATTGGGTAGGTTACACAAGTTAGCTTCTTCACTGTATATTCTTATAGTTTTCACTACTTTGGTGAAGTTTGTAAAACACACTCAAGTTTATGAAGATATGCCGTCTATATCTCGTATTAGTAGATTGAAAGAGATTCTGTATTTTATTTTGTATAGTGCAACTAAAGCTCTGTTCAAATTTGTGTTCTACTGCAGATGTATTGCAAGAATGATACTAGAGGTTTTAGGTAATGGATCATTCATACTAGAAAAGAGATACAGACTTTATCTTAAAAATGTAAGCTCAATCAATGAGAAGGAGGATACTGTAAACATGAAGCGCTAAGAAATGTCATAAATCATTACAACTTCCTCTATCAAATATTATTCTGAGAAATAGAATTTGTTTCAACTTTTATGTATTAAAGGGTGTGAGAAGAGAAAGAGAGGACACCAACTTGAACACAACATATAATCATTTGAGGGGTTTTTGTTTTTGTTTTTAAAACATCTAAATGTGCCATTTAATATCATATCCCAGCAAAAACTAAAAGCACTAGGTCTTCCCCAATTTCTCGGTACCGCCACTGGTGAAAGGTAACTAGTACCCGATGGAATAGTCAAGGTGCGTAAGCTGGCCTTGACACCACCAGTCAAGGTGCGTAAGCTGGCCTTGACACCACCAATGTCCAAAAAGTATGAACATAGTGGGACAGATCTATTCATTATCAGCATAACCTGTGTAATTGACTTGTGAATGGCATTCCACAAACAAGACCAAATAGCACCCGTGACCTTTCTCAACTTAAAAAGGGCAGTCCGGTGCACTAAGCTCTCGCTATGCACAGGGTCCGGAAAAGGGCCAGACCACAAGGGTCTAATGTAGGCAGCTTTACCTTCCATTTCTACAAGACGTTTCCACGGCTTGAACCTATGACCTCCTGGTCACATAACAGCAACTTCACCAGTTACGCCAAGGCTCTCCGTATGTGACCTTTCTCAACTTGCAGAATAAAAAACATACAATGTAAATCTGTACACCCTGTCTGGGAAAAATAGGCAAATGAAAGAAGTATATGAATTTCCAGTACATGTGATACAATACAATCCCCTCAACTTGTTCTCTATAAAGCCTCATTTGACTTGTTTATCAACTATAATTACAGTGATGCGCGCATCTCTTCCGTTTAACAAACTCAGTTCCAGCTTCTTCGTGGCCTGAAATGTTCCGGTAAGAGAAAAAAAGATAAGAATATCAACCTACCATAAGTAGAAACTCCTATAATCTCTATCCTACATATCAATTATATTGGCTCTTTTTATACCTACAAAATAATCATATATTCTTTAAAGAGTATATATATTTATACTTCCGATTCTTTTGTCGTGAGCGCCAGATGTAGGCAAGCGCTCCAAACGCACAGCTCGCAACTGCAATAGCCAATGCAGCTCCCACTGGAACCACAACTGCATTTGTCGAGGCTACCAACTCTTCGGTAACTATTTTTTCGGTCTTACCACCGCCTTGCTGTTCATTGTCCTTGTAAAGAGTTACTAGTTCTTTCCCGTAGTAACTGACCAAAAACTTGAAGACCTCGTCCTCATCCCAATCGATCTTATTATTTTCCTTACTTGTTTTGCTTGGGCTGAGATAACACGAGGAGCAAAGCTGTTTCGGAGGCCAAATAGCTTTTGGAAATTCAGGATCGCCAGTTCCAAGGGACGCTTCTTCTTTTATTAGTCTTTTGTTGACCTTGTTGTGAGCACTCCACAACCAGAGAGCAAAATTACGTGCTTTCTTGAACGGAGTAGACACGCTGAAAATTAGGAATATTCAAACAGAACAGTTACCATTGCCTGACTCGGATTAGCAGATATCAAAAAGGTAATGCTCGAAAAGAATAAGTTGAGAAACAAAAAGAATCTCAATAGCATTTTACCTCGAGCACATTTCGTAAAAGTGTTGCCGACACTCCTCACAAACAAAAAAGTTGTGTATAAAATCACATGTACTTCTAAATGCCATGTTGCTTTCTCCGTCCTCCACTCTTACGGAGAGTGAATGTAACAAAACCCACAAACCGCAACTGCAAGAGAAACAACCGTCATGGGGCTAAGGAAACCGCTAGAGCAAATTTTATCTATACAACAACTCTACTAAAGTTTTGAACGTATCATGTTAATAGAAGCATATTATCACTGAACGATCAAACTTCAGCCTTTCTCTTTGATTGACCTGTTGTATGTCGTGCTAGTTATCAAATTAGATATGGAAAGACAAAAGACGGTGGAAATAAGCGGAAGAAAGTCATCAGCAATCTAAAAAAGCATTTTAACGAGTGACAAACAGTAGCGTGTAGAAGCATGTGCAGGAATCAATCCCTCTATTTGCCTGTGCATATTTTTTTGGTACAGTTTTTAGCGAATATACAATCACGAAATTTGTAACACGTATGAAGAAAAGACTACATGAATGATCCATTACCTAAAACCTCTAGTATCATTCTTGCTGCCACGACAATACATCTGCAGTACAAAACAGATTTTCATAAACAAATTTTGAACAGCTTTAGTTGCACTATACAAAATATGAAAATAAAATACAGGATCTCTTTCAATCTAATAATACTAGATATAGATGGCATGTCTTCATAAGCTTAAGTGTTTCACAAACTTCGCCAAAGTAGTGAAAATTAGAGTCCCTCGACAAGCTTTTGTCCTGATTGGCACTTTGCAATTTTCATTTAATTTTTGAAGTACAAATATTCTATTATGAGTAATTCTTTTTTACCATGGTTTCAGAGAAACAGTTTTTACATTACCATCACTTCTGTTAACAGTAAGTATTACATCATAAATTACCATCACTTCTGTTGACAGTAAGTTTTACATAATAAATACTCCATCTTTGTTGCAGAAGTTGTTATTGAATTAACAAAAGAAATCAAGATACGCCAACCACTTCTTTCGATAAGAAAACAGAAACAGAAAAAATCTAAAGAAAATAGGAGTTCTTTGGAGTGGGGCAAGGGGAAGAGGTACTTAAAAAATGTATAACTGAATAATACTAGATGCATCAGCTACAGTAAAGAAGCTAAATTATGTAACCTACCCAATATCCGCGAGGAACAATTTTACCACAAATCTGGTAATTTCCCAGCGCGCCATTTTTGCTACAACTTTCAGCTTCCTCATTGTTAACCAACATCGTAGATGATGGACAAAGATCATCAAAGTTAACAAGTACATCTGCACTCCCCTTCCGGCACCTATTATAAGTATACAACTCCAGATGTAAGGGAAATGCGGTTATTGCTAAAAGCCTACAATAATGCAGAAAAGCACCGAAGAATAGGAGAAAACCTCCTAGAAGGGTGATGAGCAACCAAAAGCTGAAGAAACTTTATAAGTGATGCCCGAGTTTCTGGTTTAATCATCTGCACGGATTGAGGACTAACACCATAAAAAATAAGTTGGTCGTACATAAAACTATAGATCTAACAAAGACAGAGGATTCATTCCTTTACCTTGTGGTCTAAAATAATACTAAAGGCAGTAGATGTTGCCTCCTCAACATCATCGATAGCTTTGGCAATCTTCACAAGCAAAAGTTGCAGGAGTAAGAAGAAGTATATAAGAGGCAGCTTAAATTTCGTTTATGTAAGAATCCAAAGTTATGCTCTAGTAACCTGGCCAGGATCTGAAGTGTTTGTCTGAAGATGCTCGTTCTCGTACTTCCCATCATCCAAGCCATATGAGCTGAGAGTTTAAATACGACAGAAAGAAGAATGCAGAAGCTAGTCAAAGACAGATAAGATAATAACTTTCAAGTGAAGGAGCATCTTATCATGCAGTAGTACACAATGAACGATAACGTGAGCAATAGCTTGTGATAGAATACACTGCACTTTTACATTCTTCATAGGGAGAACCTCAACTTCAGTTACATTCATATTATATATATATACATATATATATATATATATATATATATATATATATATATATATATATTTGTACTACATATATTTGTATTAGTAATTTTATTATTGCATCATTGTCATGGAGAAAGGTGAGATTACCAATCTATTGTTAATAGCTCGTACATCTTTGTCGGGTAGTTTAGAAGTTGAAACTATTATTTTTCTTTTAATTTCAAGATCCAACTGAAATCCCACAGGACATAGCCTATAGTATTGTGGTTGTTGAATTCAAGTAAAAGGAGAGAAGACCGAAACATTATGTCAAATTTGATGATGCAGGGATCTCTTTTGTCACGCAGTTCATGATATATATAAAGCCCCAAGCCTCCCTATCGCTCCCTAATTACTCCAACTAAACAGAAGGAAAGAACCTATAAACAACAATCATTTATACCTTCCCAATTGTTTGTTGATCCAGCCAAGCAAGACATCAGCAGTTCGTCCATTTTCAATCAGAATTATTTCACTCTTTTCTTGTTTTGGACCCCAACCACCACTAACAAACTTCTTAGGAGGGCCCCAAAAAAGCATCGGGTAACGATCCACGGAGAACTTGTCACAAAGCTTAGAATTTATCTGTGCTGCCAAGAAGGTGATAAGTGATGGGAATAAATCAGTTAGGTTAAGTAGAAGTGTGAAAGAGCATAACTCATGGTTTTACATATGATACGAAACAACTTTGAAATCATAAAGACCTAAGCAAAGATGAACAGTTTTCATTAACGCAGGAAATCATCAGAAAAAAGGAAAAGGTATCAATGTGCTTCCTAATGGCGTAGAATAACATATCAAGTAAAAGAAGAAGATTATCTATAATATAGAACATTTTCTTAGAAGCATAAAGAAAGCATAGAGCAATACCGTCGATGCACAATCTACCCTCGTCATTAATATGATTCCTGGATAACTAGCATCTGCCCCGTTGAAGAGTCTTGCAACTTTTTCATATTGTGGCTGCAAAATTATTGCTACTTCTATGAGAAACATTACAGCAAAAAACTATTCCGTCTATCCCAGTTTACCCACTTACCATTTGGAAACATGACTTCAACATCATTTGTTTTTTTAAGTCTTTATTTTCTTTTAACTTCTAAGTTTTCGCTTTTTATCTGTTCTGTTAGTATCTTTATGCATTTATTAGTCTATGGGTATTACTTTATAAATATAAGACCTAACAGCCTCTCTGCCTTCTTAAAGGAAGGGGTAAGGTCTGCCTACACTCTACCCTCCTCAGACCCCACTTGTGGGACTACATTGGGTATGTTGTTGTTGTTGTAATGTTCAAATCTACATTGAAACGTGTCAAAGTCTGACTCTTGTAATTTGAATCCGATCATCAATTTTGGGATAGAGGTAATACCTTATAATTTCTACAAGCGGGACACCTGCAAGACAAGTAAAAGTGCTTCAATACAACGAAATATCTGCAAACAGACTCTGGCAACTTCAAGATCAATCAGTTGATGACTACAAAGTTAAAACACAAGTAAAGGTAATGTTTTACGTTTTCCCTCGATTAAGACAAACAGCATTACTGAATTCATTTATCTTTTCTACTAGCTTAGAACTTCATTGCAAAACAAGTTGACTAAAGAATGCTAAGAGAATATCAAACCAACGGTTGCGAAAACCAGTGAATAACCTTCAATTCTTAGTTTGGTGAAATAAAAAGAACATAACCAACTATTTATTGATTGAAGTTTAACCATAATGAAAGATTTTACCAACCAGCACATGCTTCCTTTAGACCAACAAAGCAAGTTTTTTTAGTCAAACCAAACCCTCCAGATTCACAAAGCTACAATCTCTGTATTTTTATTTTCAAACAGTCTCTGTATTACTGATCAAAAAAGAAATCGAAAACCTAATATCTTTTATCAGAAAAAAAATTTAAAAAACTGTGATCTTTGATCTAAAAAGAAAAAAAGCTACAATCTTTGTATTCCCCTCAAAACCTATAAACTACACCAAGTAACAGAAACAAATTAAGAAGTTCCCCAGAGCAAAGACTTTATATACAAACTACCTACAATATGTACATCCCAGAATTTGCTACAAAAAAGATGTTATTTTTACATTAAATCAATAGTCCAGCAAAAAAAATTCTAAAATGGGCCATCAAATTTCAGTCATAACCCCAAGAGTACAACTAACTCATCCATAAAATCCCATTTACAAAACAAACCTGAAAAAAAAAAGATTTATTTATTTTACTTAGTCTCCACCAAACAAACATGGTTCCTCCAAGAAACATTTACTTGATTCTTAAAACTCCAATAAAGAAATAGACACAAAATTAAAATTAAAAAAAAAACTATATGAACTGACCAGTGAGCAAAGAATTCAACAATGGCAAAAGGGGCAGGAGTTTCCTTAAGAACAGAATCAAAGTTGGTAGCATTTAAATCAATAGCAAAGTCACCATCTTTGCTATTTTCATTTATTATTGATCGAAAAATCACACGTTGAGATCCACTTGATATTGAAACTGATTGTTCAAAGCTTGAAAATAATAGAATCAAGAATAGCAAAAATATAGGAAAAAGAGTCATGACCAAAATTTTGTGTAAAGTGAAAGAAAAAAAAAGGTTAAATGTCAAAAAAAAATTACAGAAATGGGGGGAGAAAGAGACAAAGATGAAGGTCAAATTTGAGTTATAGAAGTTTCAGAGATTTAGGGGAAGATTTTGATCTGATTTTGGTAATAACTAAAGAAAGTACATTTTTTAAAGGATTTGTCAGTACAAGTACCAAATGCCACTTTCTTTTTGGTTAGTTGAGCAATTTTTATTTTTTTGTTTATTTTCTTGGTCAGTTTGTACTTTGCAACTTTTTTAGTGGGCGTTGGTAAAAAAAATTTAAAAAAAAGTGAAACAAAATTTCAATGAAAATGATATTTGAAAGTTAGAGTTGTGTTTGGATATGAATATAATTTTGGGTTGTTTTTGAAGTTTTGTAAGTGATTGTAATGATACGACTAGTCGTTTTAAGCATTTACACTCTGCTCGGTGGTTTGAGGGCATCAGTAGCTCCGTATGATGTATTATGACTTATGCGAATCGTCGGTTTTGGTTTTCAGGTTATTCGGAATTGATTTGGAAGAATGATTCTCAACTAAGAAGCTTTAAATTGGAAGAGTTGACCAAGTATTGACTTTTTAGTATTTGACATCGGATTGGAGTTTTGATAGTTCCGTTAGCTCCGTTGGGTGATTTTGGACTTAGGAGTGTGTCCGGATTGTGATTTGGAGGTCCGTAGTTGAATTTGGCTTGAAATGACGAAAGATTAATTTTTGAAAAGTTTGACCGGGAGTGGACTTTTTGATATCGGATTCAGGTTGTGGTTCCGGAAGTTGGTATAGCTTCGTTATGTCATTTGGGACTTGTATACAAAATTTGGGTTAATTCCGGGTTAGTTTGCTATGTTTCGGCACGAGTTATGGAAGTTGAAAAGTTCAAAGTTCATCAAGTTCGGATTGAGGTACGATTCGTCGTTTCGATGTTGTTAGGTGTGATTTGAGGCCTCGAGTAGGTCCGTGTTATGCTATGGGACTCATTGGTATATTTAGACGGGGCCACGAGGAGCTCGGGTGAGTTTCAGACGATGTTCAGAGCATTTTGGAAATTTTGGCTAAGGTTGGTTTTTGAGCAGTCCTGGTGTGATTCGCACCTGCGAAATTTTGGGCGCAGGTGCGACATCGCACAAGCGAGGCAGTGGCTGCAGAAGCGGCATGGCAGGATCAAGGCAGTGTCGCAGGTGCGAGGCTATTTTTCGCACCTACATGATCGCAAAAGCGAATTTTATGCCGCAGGTGCGAGGGAAGACTACCAGTGCTCTTCCGCAGGAGCGAGATTTTGAATGCACATGCGAGTCCGCAAAAGCGGAGATTTGGTTCGCAGATGCGAAGATGCTGGGCAGAAGCTATAAAATTGAGGTTTTGGTTCTTTTATCATATTTTGAGATGTGGGACTCGGATTGAGGCGATTTTTGAAGAAATTTACATCATAAGGATTGGGGTAAGTATTCTACACTTGGTTTTGATCTTATTTCATGAATCTATCTTCATTTTTGGCAATTGGTTGATGAATTTTAAAGAGAAATTGGGGCTTTTAGCCTAAAGTTTCATAATGTGAATTTTGAGTTTTGAACATCGATTCAGAGTCGGATTTGAGTGAAACTAGTATGGTTGGACTCGTAATTGAATGGGTTGTCGGATTTTGTGAGTTTCGCCGGGTCCGAGGTGCGGGCTCGGGTTTTGAATTTTTGGTCGATTTAAAAGATTAGAGATTCGATCTTTATCATTTGGAATTGTTTCCTTGGGCGTTGTTTGATTTATTTGAGTTGCTTTTGGCTAGTTTTGAGCCGTTCGGAGGTCGGTACGCGCGGGATGGCATTTTTGGAGCATCGCTTGGCTTGCTCGGTATTGGATTTGGTTTGTTCGAGGTAAGTAACACTTCTAAACTTGGTGTTGAGGGTATAAAATCCTGAATTACGTGTTATGTGATTGGTAATGAGGTGACGCACATTCTAGGTGACGGCGTGTGGGCGTGCACCGTGTGAATTATGACTCCGTTATTTCTGTGGTACTGTGTAGTTACCTAATCTTACCTGTAACCATAAAATTTCTACGTACTTGAGCTATTGAGCTTTGGTCCATGTTAGAATCCATGTCTAGTCTACATGCTTATCCTGTTGGGACCCGCTGAGGTCATTTCTGTTGTTGAGCTATCTGCTTTCATTGCATTACTTACTCAATCATACGCATTTATATGCATATCATATCTTAGTCTCTGTTACCATTTATTGATACATCACATCATTATTTTGGGCTGATTTTTCATGACATTGAGAGCCTGAGAGACTGGAGAGATTGATGATTTAGTGAGGCCGAGGGCCTGATGGTGAGGATGTTATTGGATCGGGCTGCACGCCGCAGCATGTGTTTATTGATTTATGATTGGAGCGGGCTGCACGCCGCAGCATGTTTTACTGATTTATGCCATGATTGACTTGTTATAGTGCTTGGGCTGAAGGAGTCCCTCCGGAGTCTGTACACACCCCAGTGAGCAGGTACCTACTAAGTGCAAGTGCCGAGTGATTGGGAGGATTAAGTGACTATTAGGACTGAGTGGTTGTGAGGACTGAATGACTGGGAGGACTGGTGAATTTATGAGTATGCATATGGTTTTATCACTAAGTCGCATCGAATTTGACATGCACATGACATACAACAAATAGATACATTTTCCCTAATGCTATACGGTATCACGTCATTCATGACTTCTCACATATATTGACATATGGGCATCGAGAGGTGTTGTATACTTACTATTTGAAGAGAAAATGAAACATCATATTTACTGTTGAAAGAATTTTTGGGAATACTTACAGTTCTCAAAGTCACTCGTATTTTCGACGATTTCGGTAAAAGAGTTGGGTTTTCACTGATATACTTGAAAAGCGGAACTATTTTCGAAAAACTGTGAAAAAGTTGAGCATTTTATCTCTGAGTTACTTCTTTATTTATTTGCTTTATGTTGTTATGAACTGTTGTTGGCTATTGGTGTTGGACCCGACCTTTGTTCCAGCTCGTCACTACTTTCAACCTAAGGTTAGATTTGTTACTTATTGAGGTGTACTCATACTACACTTCTGCACCTTGCGTGCAGATGTTGGTTGCTGATGTTGTTGTGATCGATTGGAGCTGGAATTGAAGACGTACCAGCGTTCCGGTTGTAGCTGCTTCTTGTTCATGGTAGCTCTAGACTTATGAAAATCTGTTTATGTACATTTCGAACAGATGATGTATTTATTTCATACTAGCTTTGTAAATTCTATTCTTAGAAGCTCATGATTTGTACTACCAGTCCTTGGGGAATGTATCAGATTCAGATATTTCTTTACTTAATTGCTTTATTACAGGTTAGTTATTAAATTGGCTTACCTAGTGGGTTGGGTTAGGTGCTATCACGACTAGTTGGATTTTGGGTCGTGATAGTGATCTGAGTGAAATTTTTTGAAAAACAGATTTTTTAGAGTATTTAATATTTTTGAAAAATTTTAAAATTCATCTTGAAGTGAAAATTGAAAATTTTATGGCCAAACACGGGTTTCTAAAAAAAGTAGAAAAATCCTATGTCCAAACGGGCTCTTAGATACTCCCTTCGTTCCAATTTAAACGAGATAATTTGACTCGGTAAGAAATTTAAGAAAAAAGATGAATACTTCTAAAACTTATAATCTTAAAAGCTTAAGGGGTAAAAGCTTTGTGGGACAATGATATTTGTACAGTTATAAAATTTTATTATTAAGGGTAAATGGGTACATAAAAAAAAATTTTAAAGTTGAATTATTTCCAATTTAAAAAATATATCATTCTTTTTGGCTCTTTCCCGGACCCCGCGCATAGCGAGGCTTAATGCACCAGGCTGCCTTTTTATTTCTTTTCGGTACGGACTAATAAAAAAAGTCTAAATTAAAACGAAAGGAGTATATTGGTAGAGTAGAGTACTGACTTGACTAAAAAATAATTCAACTAATTTGAATTTTGTCGCGTCCCAATATGGATAATGGACATAGGTAGAAAATGGAATGAAAAAAAGAAGAAGAATAGACTAGTTTGAATGCATTCCCTACCAAATTTCAAGTCAAGAGTGATCTCATCTATTTAATCATATGCAGTCAGATCTCTCTACAACAGCATCCCTAACACTTTACTATAGAAGCCAAGCTTTTTTAGAATATATTTTGTAAAGTGTTGCTTTTTGACCGAAGTATGCACAACAAAACCCCACCCCAACACCCCACTGAACAGCGGCGACCACCCTACGCCGTCGACCACCCCACAGGTTTCTTTCTATCTTTCTTTCTAGACTAGACGTTCCTCCAATCTCGACAACGGAAAGCAGCCGGCGTCCAGCGACCGGAGTCCGGCGAGATTCAACCTCCGTCACCCATATAGATTCGCTTAACTCTTTTAACTTTGGACTTCTATTCTCCGGCTGGCGAACTTCTTTGCTACTGCAACTGATCTGCCGCCATTAGTAAGTATATTTCCTTGGTATTATTCATATTTTTAAATTTTTTTTATTTGCAAAATCATCTTTCAATTTTTATAAAACTTTCAGCAGCCAAGGATATCATCTTTTTTCTTTTTACTTCCTCTTTTTGTTCTACGACACAGTAGCATAAATACCTAAATCATAGAGTATCTTTTTACATCGTAATTAAGTTTTCTAATTTGTATCCATTTTCGATCTTCGCCTTCACTTTTCAACCACAAAATAAAAATCTTTGTCTATTCGATCTGCTACACTTGAAGCTAATTTTTTACATACTTGAAGGTAATTTCTATTAGATTCAACGTATTTCTGCAATCTCTGTTAAAACGAAAATTGTATATCAAAAATCCAAACTTTGGTTTCTGCTTTTTTTCTGTCGCAATTTGTGAAGAACTTAGTGAAGATCTTATTTTTACTAAATTATCATAAAGTGGCCTTTTTATTCATTATTGACTATTTTTAAATCAACTTAAGGTTTTATTTCATCCCTTTTTTTGCGCTCCTTTGCTATGGGCGGGGCCTCACCAGTGGTAGCGGTGACAACCCCTCCCTCCTATGTTTGTCTTCGTGGTATTTTGTGTGTATTTCAGGTTAGGGCCTGCGCCTATTGGCGGCGAACGGGACGTGTGTGTGCAAACATTAAAGAATAACCCG